ATCTGTTCCTAGTATAAACAATCACGTTATATTTACTAAAGGTTAACATATTCAACGAAAAGTTCAGACCATTTAATTATAAACTTTCAAATTTCATTTCTTCGCATGAATAATAGAATCGAAAAGACAAAAAAAGACACCAGATTTAATTAATTAAAAAAAAGTTAAAGAAAAATGAAATACAAAGCTTACTTTTAATTATTAGAAAAACTGATTGCTCGTGAAATGGTGAAACATTTAGAAAGTCGTCTGCCTATCTAGGAAGTCAATTATTTTCAATAAAATAACAACAAAAAAAAAATATAAAATAAATTCATTTAGACAAATTAATGAACATTTTCTACTTAAATTACGTTGCAACATCCAACATAGGAAGAGAAATACGGATTTAGTGTATTAGCAGATTTCGGAGAAACATTTCGTCGATTAAGATTACGTTCGCAAATACGAGTTATTATATGCAATTCGATTGAATTATATTAAAGAAATTAGCATGGTTATATTAAAATAAACGGTAAAATGTGCTAATAAGGAACGTATGTTAAATGGAAACAAATAAAATAAATGTGCACAGTCTTCTTTTTTTTATTCTTCTTCTTTTTATTCTGAGATGCGTGTGTTGGTAAAGATCGTTTGATAAGTGTACACCGAAGTCCTCCTTTCTAGTAAAGATTTCAAAGTTGACCTCGTTCCCCTGTTTTGGGAAGGAAGGAAAGGATGTCTTCGGTTTGCATAGGCCAGTTGTTGGTGCACAAGAGTACACGAGCATTAGCAACTTTAATTGAATATTAACAATTCGCACGGTGAATCATCCGTTCACTCGAACGCTGCTTAAAAACACTTCGAGAGGTTAACTTTCATTTATGCTTTTTTTTTGGGATAATATTTATATTTGCTTAGATGTTAACGATACGTGTTTTTCAATTTGTTGACAAGTAAATATAGGCTATTCGCTGATCTCTAATTTTCATTATGGTAAATTTTATGAACTTTATGAATTTTTGTAAAATTCACTATTAAATATTTTTATTTGCGTAGATCTAGTTCGTTTCAAGCATCAAAATAATTGGTTAGGATAATTATTTAGATACTGAAGAACGATAACATTTCTAGGATTCAGTATTGTATATTTTTGAATGCGTAGAAATTGTGAAACTATTAATTCAAAACAATAAATAAGGTTAGAAATTAAGTAACTTAATGATTTTTTAGAGGTTAGAGTCTAATATTGAGATTGATAATTTCAAGTGTCAAGACAATAATAAAGGTTAGCTACTATTTTTTGTTGATGATTCTTTAGAGGTTAGGATCGAATCTAACCTTTAGATCATTATTTAGTAACTGCAGAATGATAACATTTGTAGGATCGTGCATTTTGCATTGCGAAAAACTTGATCATGTCAAGTGTCAAAACAATAAATAAGGTTAAGTTAGAAGTTAGGTAGATTAATGTTTGGTTAGAGGTTAACTTACACTATTATTTGGTATAGTATATATTGTACATCTTAAATTGCGTAAAACATGATTATGTCATATGTCAAAATAAATAAGGTTAAGTTTGAAGTTAGGTATGTTAATATATTTTAGAGGTTAGATTAATCTATTATTTAGGACCTGTAGAAAGATAACATTTGCATACTTTAAATTGCGTAAAACTTCATCAAGTCAAGAGTCCAAGCGTAGGTTAATCTTTGATTAGACATTAGGATAGGCTATTATTTAGTAAATAGAGAACGATAATAATTCTTGGATTCAGTATTGTCCATTTTCAGTTGCGTAGAACTTGTTCATTCTAAGTGTCAAAACATAAAAATTAAGTTAGAAGTTGGGTTACAAAAGAGTATATTAGTTAAGGTTTGTGTAGAAAGATTAGATTGTAAATTTGATATTGAAATGTTTAGAATAATAAAATTTTCAAGATTTATATTAATTATCTAATTCTCAATATCAACGTAAAACTTTTTTTTTAAAGAGATTTATATTAATTTATTTATTGATGTAAATCTCTTTCGGCCCTATTTCTACCCCCTTTCGGGTTTAACAGCCATCATAAATTTTGTTGGTTTTTTGGAATCGAACCAACGATCAGATTTTCGTGATACAGGCGACCATAGCCAATTGTATAACATGAAAAATATCAATGTTACTTAGTTTGGGAATTATATTATTTCTTTCAATTGGTAACTCTTTACGTCATCCGCAAAAAATGATAAAAATATGACGTTTCCTAAATTATTTACACTTCAATCTTCCAAAATTCCCATTATTTGTAAACGCAAATAAAAATCAAGTAAATCCAAACGTTTTGTAATAAGTAAACATGTATTTCCAGCAATTTCCTTGGTCCAACATAAAAATGTCGCAAGGTGAAACACATTTTTTCACACATTAAAGTAAATTTGCTTATTTGTGGACTTAAAGCAAAATTTGTTAATTTTTTTAGCACATACAAAAACAAATATGGAAAAAGACAATAATAATGACGTCTACCCGAATGGAGATTCTTGATTGTAGCAATTTATGGGACACGTAATTGACAAGTATTAACAACATGTAGGTTATACTTGTCAATTGTTTTAAGCTGTCAAATGTGAATTATTGTCCAACTAACATAACTGTCTTATGATGACATTGACTTGAATAGTTCAGAGTTTAGATATTTGCTAACAATAAGGAACAATTAAACCAATGTTTCTTAAATTTTATAAACTGTCAAAGTTATTAACCAAGTTGAGTTTCGGTGATAAATTAAAAGACTAAAGCCTCCAATCTTAAATTTAAATGAACTATTCGAGTTCGAATATAAAATATTCAAAAAGGATATAAAAAAATGCTTATGGAAAGTTCCTTTCGTTAATATTACCAGGGCATTGCTTAACACCCAACACTTTGCAGACTACGAAAATATCGATCGAAAATCTAGAACAATTCTCGAAACAATTCGGTAAATGTTATCAAAGAAATGAGTCACAGCAATCGAAAACCGGTGCCCTCGATTTAATGATATATGTTCTTCATATTTAATTCTTTTTTGTTTGTTTTAACTTAGTATCCGTATAAATAATAACTATTTTTCGAATAAAGGTTAAACGATTCTCGTTCCTTAAACCTGATTCCAATACATTTGCCGACGATAAATAAATATTGCATTGTCCTGTCCCGTTCTTGAGAAGATATAAAACTACTTTTCCTTTGTTCCGTGCATATATACATCAAGGACGTCATAAAAGAGCCACACGACAAAGACACACCTCTGTGTCAACTCGAAAAGCTGATAAAGATCGTACTTGAAATATACCGTATACTTTACTCAACAATAACTTAACTATGGAAGCTTTCAATTATAAATAAAGAAACTAATTGTTGCTGCAGCCGATGAAATTATAGGTACGGACGTGAAAGACGTTTACCAAGAGATTAGTTAAACATACTTTCTACGGTACTACTTTTTTTTCTTAATTTCTTTTTTTGGAAACTTGTATTTTTGCAAGTGAAATAATTTTACGTGATTCATATGCCCATTTTCAGTTGACGTTGTTTATTTTGACGCTTCATTTTTTTCGTGTTGCTTCTGGTTGATCGTGAAAAGCGAGTAAAGGGAATCGCGTGGGATTCTGTGTATGTCGCACACAAAAGACATTCTCCGAAGCCCACGTTCATTGGTTGTGGAGGAAGGAAAGGTTAATAATGTACGGCAGAGGTGAAAAGTGAAATTCGGTGAAATTGATTTGTCGAGACAACAACTCTTCGGAACGACTCTTCCCCCGAAGATTGATAATTAGCGAGAGTATGCGGATCTTCGCAAGAAGAGGCGAAAACGGAATGAACGGTCTCTTCTCCTCTTCACGTCCAATTAGTTTCGGAAACTGGTTTCATTTAAAAAAAATAAAATATAATATAAAACGAATAAAAAATAAGAGATCGCAACATCATCCGCAAGATTAGAAACTCATTTCTAAGTATAATCACCATGGCAACAGCAAGAATAAAAAAAATCTATTGATTTTCAAGGAGGATACACGAAAAATCATAATTGGAAAAATAAAATAAAAATAAAACACATTTTCGACAATATTAGAAACTCATTTCTGAAGATAAACCATAGTCTGAATAATGAAAATTATGTTTTTTGAAAGATTATTATTGTATGGAAAATTTTTAATTTTTTTTTTGTTGTTGTAACAAAGATTTTTTTCTTAATCACTATCACCATGGCAATAGTAAGATGTTTACTATTTTTTAATTTTAGTTTGCTGAGAAAACATAGATTGTAACATTAGAAAAACTCATCTCGAAAGATAATCAAAATCATCATAAAAAAGTAAGAATATGATTACTGATTCTGTATTTTATTATTGAGAAAAAGAAGAATAGGAAATAGAAGATCGATAGATTTTTTAGAAGATTAGAAACTCATCTCTGAATATAATCAAAATTACCATGGTAATAAAAATTGAAGATCGAAACATCTGCTGCCAGATTAGAAACAAATCTGATAATTATTACAAATAGAGGAATGATTGAAGGAAAATGTTTACTGATTTTTGCGGCGGATGCATGAAAAGTTGTTGGGTAACTCGATTCGACCAATTCGAGCGAGTTACTCAATGCACTAGAAACGAAGGAAGGAACGACACGAACGTTAACTTAACTAAGTAATTGGTGCGCATCGAATGGGCATCTTTTGCACATGCACGACGTTTTGAAACGCTTTATTATTCCGCTTATTATTATTTTCTTATTTGCGGTATCATTAAATTAAACGAATTTTTAAATTTCATTTGTTTTGGGATAGGAAAAATTTCTGGATTTATAATGTATCCCCAAAAATAGTAAGCATTGAAATAATAAAAAAGAAAGAAATAATTAATGTGTGTGATCAATGTGAATTTGCGTATTGTCCGCATCCCTTCCTCTTCAGGCCGAAAAAAGACCCGTTTTTTTTTCTCTCTCTTCTCTCGGTGCGGTAACAATCCCATTCCGCCTCGGCCACTGAGAAACTCTATAAAACGTCGGTTCTTGCAGAGCGACAACTAGTCGGAACCGAAGAACGGTTGAGCAGCAGAGTAACACAGAGTGTCAGACTCGTACAGTTTTCTTTTTGGGATTTTAAAAAAAAGTTCACTTCATCTTCAAACATGAAAGTATTCGTTGTGTTCGCCGTCGTTTTGGCCCTCGCCTTCGCCGAAGACAAAGCTGATGACAAGTCCAAGACTTACAAGAGGCTCATCCCTGCTGATGTCCTCAGAGGTAACTATAACACAAAAAAATTTATTTAAACACAAATATTTTCACAAAAATAAAGTCAGTTAAATAGCCAAAATAATAGACTCGTTTTCTACTAGAATTGTGTTGACTTGTATTGTTGGAAAGCTAAATTCTAGAAGATTACAGCTTTCCAGAATATTATAAATAATTGAAACGACTTATTTCTTATTAAAATTGGATGAGATTTTACTATTTCGAAAACCATTATATTATAAAAATTGCTTAACTTTTCAATTTCTCTTTGTCGTCAATTTTAGCCTGAACATATTAATTGACGAAATTGTTAATAAAAATAAATACAATTTCTTAAATTATTTCTTGAAATGAATAGTGAATAGAAATTGAGATATAAAATGTCTAATTAATTGTCGTTTTGATTGAATAATTGGAGTTGAAATGCGGTAGCTTTCGGAGAGCATCAACGAAAGTGACTGCGATTGCAAAATCGAGGCGTGAAAGTGGGAAAAGCAAACACGGAAAGTGCGTTTCTCGATATATATATATATATATATCGTTCGAAGCAGGATGGGTTTGCGCAATCGGAATATTCCATGCCCAGAATTGGCATATGGTTGTCGCAGGAACAACACACTCGTCCTGCACTATCAAAAATTAAAAATCTGTCTACTACGAACGTTGGCAACGCAATAACTTTAAACGGCGAATTATCAATTAGGGGCCGCGTTTTCAATTGGCGTTCCAGATTTTATTTTGAAATACGTTTTTCGTTGCGAAACGCTTCCGTCGAAAGGAGTCGAGCTCTCACTTAATTTCAGTATTCATTTTCAGTTCTTTTTACTTGATTATACGTAGATTCTGTTCACACTCACATTGCTTTATTGTTTTTCGTTCTTAAATTTCTTGTTGCTTCGCTCTTTGGTTTGTTTCCGTTACCGCTGCTCTTAAAACCAGTCTTTCTCGGCAACTTTTACATCACTCCAACATCGGAAAGTTAGTGGTGATCGCGTGCTGACCCACATTTTATATGCCACCGCACCCAAGCTCAAGTAGAAACCATCGGAAAAGCATTTAATTACGCTCGAAGCAGAAAACGTCTCTAGTTGATTGCCATCCATTTCGAATGTTTTCCTCATCGATTTTCCAATTTCAATCCACCATTACCTCACCTATCCATAATTAAGGAAGTCCTTTTAAATGCTAATTAATCATTTAAGCAATAATTATACAAAATTATTGACTATTAATGGTAACATTTAATAGTATTATTATTTTATCCTTGAATTGCGATAGTAATCCGCTAATCGTTTAATCAATTATTCTTTCGAAATCGCTCCGTTCCCGTTTGCACAACAAATTAGCACCACCTGCAAATTGCGCAAGTTCATATTGAGTTAAGAATTCCGTTAAACATTTTTTTCTTCTTATTTTTCTTCAGATTTCCCCGGAATGTGCTTCGCCAGCACCAAGTGCGCCACCGTCGAACCAGGCAAAACTTGGGAATTGACTCCATTCTGCGGTCGCTCCACCTGCGTCCTCTCCGAAGACAAGCCACCACGTCTCCTTGAGCTCGTCGAGGACTGCGGTCCATTGCCTTTGGCCAACCCCAAGTGCAAGTTGGATGAGGAGAAGACCAACAAGACTGCCGCCTTCCCGACCTGCTGCCCGATCTTCAAGTGCGAGGAGGGAGCCGTTCTGGAGTACCCAGAAATCCCAACCGTCGCTCCAGTCCCAGAGGACGCACCAACCACACCAAAGGCTTAAACACCTTTTTCCAACTCTTTTCCACCACTCGAACGTATTTTTTTTTCAATTTTTTTTATGTATGATTTGCAGTGAATTTTCCTTTAATTTAGAACAATTAGTTTAATTTTTTTATTATTTTGTTTTTTTTTTATTAATTCACGTATACAATTGTCCGAATTTTCCAAGCCTTTTTGGCTCTACGTTCTATTCATCGTTTGAAGCTTTGTAAAAAAAAACCTTCTATAAGCTTTGTTTTAAATCTAAAAAAAATGAGAATTTAATTTATATTTATTAATAAAAAAATATATACAAAAAATCCAAATGTGTCTTATTTATTAACATTTTTACAACAGTTATTTGCATATTTCAAAATACTTTATTAAAACAAATTTGCTTTATAATTAATAAACAAATTAAAGATTATTTAGTTACTAATATAAAGAGTGTCTCAAAATTAACGATAGATTTGAATGAAATAGAAAACACAGTTTTTAGTCTTCAAATTGTGATTTTTTATTGAATCATAAAATACATAGGTTATTTATGGAATAACACATCGGGCAAATGGCCTCCACAGCTTTGCTAGCACATACGCACTCTTTTATAGAAATTTTTCATGACCATTTTGCATAAATGTGGCTGAATATCGTTGATGCAGTGTTTAATTTCTACCTGTTATGCACGGGTGGTTTTGTGATTGTTGACTTCAAATAACTCCATAAAAAGAAATCTATTGATGTTAAATCACAAGATCTAGGAGGCCAATTCTGTTCACCGAAATGAGAGACTACACGACTAGGAAATGTCTCATCCAGTAATTGAATTCTTTCACGGGCTGTATACCATGTGGCACCATCTTATTGAAGCCACATGTCATCTATATCAATATTATCCAAATGGGGCAGAAAAAAGTGTGTTATCATGTCGCGATATCGAGCACCAGTGACAGTCACTGCTTGACATGCCTCATTTTTAAAAAAGTATGGTCCAATGATGCCTCCTGCCCAAAATCAGCACCAAACAGTAACTGTGCATGCATTAGTTTTTCGACAATCACATGTGGGTTCTCCGGACCCCAAATGCGGCAATTTTGGCGATTAACAAAGCCATCAAGGTGAAAATGTGCTTCATCACTTAGGATGATTTTGCTCGAAAAATCAACATTCACTTGTTTATTTTTTGGGGTTGCCAAAACTTTACTGCACAAATGACAGCAAATTCAAATCTTTCGTTAATTTTGGGACACCCTATATAAACACTAGTAGAATTTTGGATTGCGAATAATTTGGTTTGCGATGAACTAGCTAGGTCTTGCAATACGAGTATTATACATAAGTTTTATCGTAATCGTCTCACAAGCTCGTTTTGATATACGAGTGCTTTGAATTTCAAGCAAGTTTCCGAAACGAATTATGCTCAATTAATATAATAAATCAATGATCAATTTATTAAATTACTTAGTTAATTCTTATTAGAATACTTTATAATGCAACGCAACAATTCAATAATTTGTTCAATATTTGTATTTGATAAAATAATATTTTTTATCAAAAAGAAACGAAAAATATCTCTATAAATTTTAATTTTATTTGTCAAAAACAAATTGGTCATAATCTTACAGATTTGTTAAACTCATGATTTAATGTTTCGATATTTTTTTATTCTGAATGCATACATTTGGAATACAAATTACAGATATCTAAGGTGTCTTTGAAATAGTTTTTCAATATCTCCCAATTATACGACATTACATAAATTAAGATAATTCACTTAATATATAACAAAAGTAGTAGAAAGGAAATATCCTGGTTCTTTAAATGAGAAATATTTTCGATTTTTTAAAGACATATCCAATTTTATTAATCCTAATTCTTCTTTAACTTTTGTAACTTGTGCATTTACTAGTACAGGTAGCCGTCGTTTTACGCCGCAGTTCCGTTCCTTTAAAACCCATCGAATCGGCGTAAATTGAACCGGAGCAAACGACATTTACCTGTAGGTACAACTCATCAAACTAGTGAAACTTACAAGAACTAAAAATAGTGAAGTATTCATTAAGTCGAGTTCTACGAAAGTGCAATTTGTTAATAAAAGTTAAAACAGCAATAATTACTTGCTTGATATCCTGATTATTTGTGATATATTATTTTTCTAACAAATTAAATTGAGAGAAAAGATGTAAATTAAATACTGAAATTATTTTTGATAAACAATTTCGAACGTAATTGTTATAAAATTTATTTATGCAATTATTATCATAATATATCATGGATATAATAATAAATAAATCAAATGTTTTATATAACAAACTCGTTGCGCACTGCATATGGTCCGATTACTAATTGCAGCCATTATTAATTGATCTTGATAATGTTATTTACATTTAAATACAACCAATCCTTATAGCTTATTGTTATTGAAGAATTTAAATAATGTATTCCACCATTTGCATTAACAACAACAACTAACAATCTCACTTCTCCTTTGTAAATTCTATTCACATGATTTATTATGTAGAAACTTTAAAAAACCTTGTTAATATGCTCTCAATTTCAAAATATCTTATATACAGTATGTCTCGACTCTTAATAAGTAAAATCAATTATGTAAACAATGAAAGGTCACAAAAATTGGGTATATTATAAAAACTCGCCGGAAAGGAAGTTATCCACGTGACGGATTGTAATTATTGTCCTTCGTCAGTTGCAAAAAAAAATATCGTCCGGATCGGTCAAGGATTGAGCGAGTTATGAGGTTTTCCGTGACTATTGCGGTTTAGTTTGCGTGGCCGAAGTTGCTATTTCCATTAGTGGAACGACCGATAATTATTTGATACACTTTATATTTGGAAATGCAACCGTAATATTAAGATAAATGTAATGATGTATAATAGTCTATGTTTGATTTAAACTCAGTTTACGTTTCTAAATTTACATTTTATTATTAATAAACAAGAAAAAAAAAATATACAGCAGTATCTTAATTTTTTTGTCGCATGACTTAAGATATTGGTTTGTACTTGTACTGCAACTTAATTGCTATAAATTTTGCTTTGGCAACAATTTCCTATTGATTTCTTCCTAAAACTTATCATTTGAGTTTCTTCAGAGAGTAATTCAATTTTTGAATATTAAAAAATATGTATATGCCACATAGCGGGCATTAGAATTTTAGAAAGGTTTAGGTGGTACAAAAAAAATGTTGGAAAACACTGCTGTTTATTTGTAAGCTGTTTCAAAGTCCTCGATTAGTCCGGATTTAAACAGGCGAAACCAATTACCCGTATTATGCCAGGAATTGCACTGCAAAGTATTTTTCTTATATATTGGTGAGGGATATGCAAATATCATAATCAAAATTTATTTATATTTTTTTCTTTTTCATCAACTAGCAAATTAAAATATTAGAAAATTTACAAATAAATTTGAAAGTTCATTCCTATTATTATTTTTTTCTCTCGAAATCTTCCGCACTGTTTATTAAATGCCAAATTAGTGTCGTTGCATCCGTTGCTTTGTGTCCAAATTTAAATTAATAATATGAAAAAGACCCTAATTTTGTTCTGATTCATTGTTCGGTGTATACACTTTGTAAATATTTTACAACCAATTTAATTTACAGTATAATTATCGTTTGTATCTATATCATATATATTTTTTTGCATGTGTTTTAATGACAAATAAAACATGTACAAGTTTATTTTTATAAAATAGATATGTTAATTAGGAAAATCGTTATGTTCCATGAGCAAAGAAGATACGATTAGAATGTAAAATATGGGTCAAGCATTAGTATAAATAGTAAAATTAAAGTGAGATTTATTTGTAAAGTACTGTCAGTATCAGTTTTTCAAAGTCTGAAGTGAATACATCAATACCTTCGATCAGTCTGAATTTATTATAATCACAACATATAGTAATGTACATAAATTATTATTTTTTTTCTTTGATATAATGTAAATGCAGCAGAACCTTGCTTAACTCTTTGAGGGGCCAGAATGCTGAATCAACATCCGATGATATGGCCTATCAAGTTACATCCATTGACATACCAACCAAATTAAATGATAATTCCTGGACATTTTCCAGAAAATTAAAATAATGCCCCATTAGGCATATTTAGAAGGTGGTATATTGCGTGTACCATCGCCCTTCAAAGAGTTAACAAGTAATTCGCATAACGAGTGAGGAGGAGATCGGAAGTCACGGATTGTGCGCCTGCTACGTAAGTCTGCGTTTAGTACTCATTCCACTAGCTCCTTGTTTTGCTTTACGTGTAAGATTCTAGAACAAATTATGCTCGTTATGCGAGGTTTCAAGGTATATTGCATTAATTCTGAGTATTTATAAAGGGTTACAATTTATAGAGCATACTTTGGAGCATAGCCATTATGCATAATGTCTAGCAATAAGTTAATTTCATTGGGTTTTTCTATTTCAGTGAAAGATTAATTATTGAAACTACCGGTAACATTTTAATGTCAGAGAATCTCCTAGCTTCAAAATATTTTTGCAGATTTTGGGGGTACTGAGAATCCCAGTGAATTACATCAACATCAATTGTATCTCCAAAAATGCACTGGTTGGTGCGATATTATGTCTGGCAAAGTTATCCGCTTTGAAAATGAAATATTATATGCCTAACGGATGATGGGTGCTGTTAGCCTCCAAGTTCGCTTGATTTGACAGCAACAGATTTTTTTTGTTGATTACTTGAAAGCACAAGTTTAGGTAAATAAACCTCGAACAAATGAAACAGTAAAGAACATTCTAGTTGAAATCCGACATTTAGGACCTGAAATCTTGCATACGATCATAAAAAATGCTGTGAAAATGCTTGTGAGTAGGAAAATGGTGGTCGTTTGATGGATGTTTTTGTTAACACATGATTCCAAACTCCATTAATTATATTTTCATATAAAATAATTAAAAAGAGATATGTATTTGTAAAAGTTATATTTGTTTTATATCATTCGGGTGTCTTTCGGGTGCCATATGCTTTATACCCAACTGTCATAAAAGAAGAGTTATCATTTTGCTATTAGACTTTTGTCTAAACTTTTCAAGATAACACATATA